TCAGCAGGTTCCTTGGCTAAGCATATGTAAGCATATATCCAGCCTTCAATAATATTCCTCAAACAGGAAAATCCATTCTTCATGTTCCAGTGGTAAACTGTGGCTTGCATTTGTTTCATCTGCAAGCTCCAATTCTTGCATTTTTCTTCACAAGATTAAAATGAACCCTTTCCCTTTCCTTATTCCAACCCACTGGTAGGCTAGAACAAGTGGTATCTTAACCTTTTGGATAAACCAAGCTGTCTGACCTCCCTAAGTCTCCAGCTTTCCACTCTTCGTATCACTCGAGCCCTTCTTTTGCATCCTCTCTGAACGTACTCTTAAATGCAGACAGCACAACGTGCAGTACTCCACCACCAGTCTCAACAATACTATCCATTTGTCATCTCTCTGCTCCTAATTCTCTTCTACTCAGTAAAATGCTACTACCATTTTCCTCCCCACAGCCTGTAACTCAGAAGTCACATTAAGCTGTTCTCCTACTGTGATCCCTTTCCAAAACATCTTGTACAGGTATGGACTGCATTTCATCTTCCCAGGTTTGTAACTTTGGCCATGTGTGATAAACCAATCAATCAAGCAAAGGAAGTCATTACATCAGCATATTTGATCAGCAGGCTGTTAACATTCATTTTGCAATCACAGAGAAACTGAATTAGGCCTAGGCTTTATGGGAAATAATTCAGCACTAGTGGCGATATCAGCTGTGCTTTGTTGCAAACTCATCAGTTCTAGAACAACTTGGAATAAGTAAATATTTAAACGTGATTCAGGTTTAAAGATGTTCTGTAATGCTGCAAGGATGGCTTTCACCTTGGCAGGGCCTGCCAGTTCTCCTAAGCCACTGTAGTATTTCATAATTTAGCTACAAAACTCACCATGCTGAGGCAGCTATCCAGCTGGTGTTCTGTCTTCCTTCCACTGGGATCTGGCTACAGACCCTTCTTGCAGTGCAGCTTTCAACACAGAAAACAGCATATTGCTGTAAATAAAATAACCTCTCATCCTGATGCTCACAAAAAGCAAAGTGAAAAACAGCTCCACTGGATCTTGTTTTATTAGGACAGCCCCGTTAGCTTCTGAAGATATTGCCCTTCTTAACGAATATGGCAGCTGGGGAATAAACAAATTAACTGCAGCCATCAGGCAGAGTTTCATCCCCTGTGGTAGGAGTAACATACAGGGCTGACTTAAGGCAGGCTATGAGCAAGAGCTGGGGAGCAGTTCAAACGACAACGAGCACAGCGCTTGCATTGACTGGAAAAGCAGTACCTCCCCTGTTTTCGCAGAAGAAACTTGCCTTCTCAGGGAGTAATAGGTACACCAACATAGACATACCCACCTGCACCACCAAAGCCCGTGACAGCTGGGATGAACAGCCATGGAACAAAATGATGTTAACTGAACTAAAAGCTATGAAAGGATGCAGAGCTTACTCGATTCCTGTTAAGATGAGATGCACGTAACTATAGCACTACGCAAAATCAATTGCATCTTAGATCAAGTTAGATTGCAGTTGAGAAATGAACATACATGTTTCAGTACTCTACGCACAGAAATACAAAGTACAAGTCACAGAATATAATAATTTGACATTAAGTGGCTTGCTCCTTCTTTCAACAAGCAGAATAGTCTCAATAGTACATTCAACAGCAAAAAGATGTTTCTTTCCCCATGTCTACTGACTCAGACTCATTTTAGAGGGCATAAATTCTCAGACTCATTTTAGAGGGCATAAAGATATCAGACATTACGTAAATTGTTTCCTAACCAGCAATTCAAGATTGCAGGGATGACTCTAAGGAGTCACCAAAGACTATGAAATAAGCTCTTTTCATTTTTAAACACGTGATGGATTACTATTTCTTGCTGTAGAATTTAAGCTATCCTCCCAAAACCTGAAACTTTTAATGCTCTCATTTGAAGGGGAAAAGAGACTGAATTCAAGGAGAGAGCTACTGGCAAATACTATGTTACAATTGTAATTCAGCATTTCCATGTGTATCAAGAAACACACGGCTTAATTGCTTGTGTGTCAGGTCGATAGACTTGGAAATGGTTCTGTATCTGCTGTCCACAAGCTTCATTCTTGACAAGTGGTGGGTAGGTGGGTGTTTGTGGTTTTTTTTAAGCATTAAAAAATTCCATATTTCCCTGAGGACTGCAGATGACCCTCTGCCAAATGCAGCTTTTCTCTTCTGATCATTAACAGAATACAAGCTGAAGACATTCTTGCTCAGTTTTACCCTAAAAGCTGTGCAAATTAAGCTTGTGTAATCTGTTACTAAGTAGGAAGTACCTGTGCCACCGATGACAAGGTGAGAGGATGCTTTTATTCACAAAAGGACAACCATCTTCACTTTCACCTTATATAAGCAAGGAAACAGATGTATTTGGGTTAAGAACTGAGTGTCTGTTTAGGTTAGGAGTCCTTTCTGGTTTCAAGTTTCCTCTTATTGTAGAGAAAGGACAGGAAAATACTAGAAATTGTGCATACACATGTGCAGATATGAACACGCACTCCAAACAGAAGTAAAATAGAAGCGGCACGCTGGTAACTAATGATTGGTGTTCAGGTGTGCGTTGAGGATTTTTTTTTTTTTTTAAAAAGTCTTAGCTGATTGTGGGAGAGGTATGCTACACATTTTATATGGAAATATTTTAACAGAAGACGTATTTTTCAAAATCAAGGTTCTGAACAAAGTGTCCCACATTTCCATGTTTTAAAGTGTTTTTTAAAATCGTTCGTCAAAATAAAATTCACTATTTTAATTTTTATGCAAAAAGAGTAAATGTGGACTGAAATCAGCTTTTTCAACTGGCACTGCTGGACCAGAGCAACACACAAAACATGCTGAAATGCTGTCCAGCTAACTTTAGGGTTCATTGCATTCAAAATGTAAAGACTCCTATTCCAAAACTGCATTAAACGAAGGGAGAACAGGGGGAGGATATCGGGCCAGGAAGCAATCAAAGATGCAGCAACAACTAATTTAGAACCATCACAAACTCTGAAACTCTTTACCTTCACATTAAAATGAATTCTGTATAAAAGCTTTTTTTCCTCCTCATTAGAAACTAGTGAGGGTTTTCCTGGGAAACAGGGAACTATTCAAGACTTTCCCGAAGAGAGTAGGAAACAGCAGCGCAAGCTGAATCTCTGCTTAAAGTAGTAGTAAATTCTTAACGATATCCACTCTTGAAAAGCAGGTTACTGAAAAAAAAGTCTTACTACAGCAAAAGATTTAGGTATGCCTTGTGACCCTGGAAGAACAAGAACTGAAAAGGTTACTTCTGCTCTTCACCTCACTGGGACAATTTTTTTCTTTAGCTCTAAAGGAAGTCAAATGAATAGAAGGTAAATCTAGCAATGATATAATCCCATGTGGGATTCACTAATGATGCACATAGCAAAAGTTAAGAAAATCACAGGGATCTACTGTAGAGTCACATCTGGATTTTTCTCTCCTTATTATATCAAGCTGTTGCTGCAGGGAAAAAGAAAGAAAATAAAGGGAAAAACTAAGAAGCAGTAATACTATTTCTGCAGGAATTCAGTGTTACACAGGAAAAAAAGGTATCTGGGATTCAATTAAAGTTATGCTAAAAAGTACTTGAAAGTCAGGCAAATTAGCTCTCCTAAACTCTCATAACAGCTAACATTTTCATTTACCTATTGTCCCAAATAATGGGCTGTATTAATCTTTATTTAGTTTGGTCTATTTACTGTATATCCTAAACTTGAGTTTTTTCTTTTTCAGTCATAAGCCATTAACAAATCCTCACTAAACACTACTAAAACAAGTTTCATTATGTTTTTGTGTTTTACAAAAAATTGTTTTCTTTTTGCAGCAAGAATCTTTGTGAAAGATTGTGCCATAAATAAGACAAACAATGATACTGACTAGACAAAAAAGGCCTAGGAAACATGCAATGCAAACACATGCACTGTAACAAATACTATTCAGGTAGACATGCAAACTTTAAATGTTTCCCAAAGAGGCAACTCAAACATTAGCCCTTCTACATGACATTTTCTGTACAAATGGAGGCAAGCCCATCCCTTTATACTGACATTTTTAAAGAACAGTTAACAGGATGTTAAGTTGATGGGTGATTTTTTTTTTTGGGGGGGGGTGGCTTTTTTCTTAAAAGCTGAAGTATTTCTCATTTACCAACTCTGCTGTTGGGTTTTTGAAGTCTGCCATTATCAAGAACCTATAGAAAGAACCTACACTGGCAGAATACATCTATTAGACCAAATCTTTTCTACATATGTAGAATCACTATTAGTGCAAAATAGAAGCTTGTGGACAAATTCAAGAAATAAGACTGTAGCATTGATGTATTCTGGTGGGGAAAGCTCTTTGACCATTTTAAAGTGACGTGTTCAACCTCCAGGAGATGTGGAGAGAACAGAGTAGCCTTTAGGGCATCTGCCCTTAAAGAGAATTCCTAGACAGCAGTATCCCAATGAGCTCTGCTAATTGGCTTGACTGCACAGTGCCCCAGCAAGTGGCAGGGTCCTGCTGACAAACAAAAAGGCTGGACTGTGCATCTCAGCAGCAGCACGTAATCAAGTCAGTATAGGGCATTAGGCATTCAGAGCTAAATTTCGTCTCTGAGCGGTATGTGTTTATCAATTATAAGTGGAATCTAGTAGATTGAGATGATCTGCAACTAGCACGTGAACTAGTCATTTTTAAGTATCTTAACTTCTCAGATATCATTTCCGACATGCTATCACGGGTGAAGCACTGGATTAAGGAAGAAAAGAAATGAAATATGCACTTGTGATACTATTTTTTTTCTTTGCCACCCGAAAGATAATTGCAGAACAACGAAACTCAATGCCAGTGATTTTCTTCAGTTCAAGACAGCAATTTAATTAGGTCCTTTGTTATCCTTCTTGAATATTGAAGAGGATGCACACAGCTGCTTTCAAATATCAGTATCCATTATTTTAATTCTACAGCTTTATACCCTAAAACCTCCCTCCTGAGCAAGCATCAATAGAGGCTGGGAAGTTAAACTGGTAGAAGGCCTTGTTTTCTACAAATATTTTTGAATTCTGCACTAAAAAAACATAGATTATATGACATAGACATAGATTTCTATAGGACATAGATTTCAGTTAAGTTTGCAAGATCAGTGTTTGTTTAGTTAAAACCGAAAAAAAAAATCCCAAGCCAAAGCCCTTGATACTACTCAGCTCACTGCCCGAGGTCTAGGTGATCACAAGCCTCCAGCTCTGTTCCAGCTATTACAGATTCTTTCAGTTTCTTGTTTGTTTGTCTTTGCTGTTTTTAGGGAGGGGGTGCAAGTGGGAACGTTTAAGTACCAACTATCACCGCAAATGGTAAGAAAGAAATTACCTTTAGCTTTATTTTTCCACACAACTGTGGCTAGATTTAGAAACAAAAGCAGCTCTAAATGGCGAGGTCACGTAACACACTAAGAAGTAATATATGCTTGAAGTAAAACATCTTTAAAGGAAAGGTTTCAGAAACTGCTATTCAGTGCATGCAATAATATTACTAAGAATTAACTTTATGTAAGAAGCATTCTGTAATGAGCTAACAGAGGGTAAAATAAAAACCCACAACCTCCTCACACTGATTTGCTGAAAGTATGTCATTAAAAAAAGGGAACATAAGGCAATGCTTGTATAAGGAATAATCTTAGTAAGATTTTCCTGTAAAATTTTCCCCTTCTGAGAGTAGTAGCTTGTTTAGAGATATGCTTATAAGGGCCTGGTATTAGATTGCAGCTATGATATAGGACACCACAAGTTACAGCTCAGTATCTAAAGATCTTCAAGGCCAGGAGCAAGAGTTTTCCATGAGTAGAAAGATGGAAGACTGCCAGCTCCTGAATGTGGGAAGTTATACGAATCTTGTTCCTTTGCCTTTAATGGCCCCAAACAACAGACTTGGAAGTTATGGAATCTTAAAGAATTTAGGTATTAGATCATTCTAGAGGATGTTTTCAGTCAGGTTTGATTTTCACTGTTGCAACACATGCAATTAGGTTCCTTCAGTAAAAGGGAGAGCGTAAACCTGTGGCATGCTACTTACCACTGAGAGCACGAAATTGAGAAGAGCTGTCCCGCTATGGAAGAGAATTGTCACTAACGTTGTTACAGTAGTAAACAAGAGGCTCACATTGCGACTCATCACTATCCACAGAGACTCCAGAATCTAGTGGCAGGGGGGAAAGAGAAGACAAAGTCAGGCACCACAAGGTATCAGGTAAAACAAAAAACTGCTTGCAAAGCAATTCCTCTCCGTCATGCCTTACAAAGAAGGGATTTAAACTACTGTCTCCCTCCCTCATCCCAAAGTTACAGCAGGTAATATTAAGTGAAAACTTCTACTTTGCCAAAGACAAGTTTCTAGCTAGATGGTTACAAGGTTTGGGGTTCTCTCTCCCAATGCTCAGAATTGCTTCATTATGTAAAATTTGAGAACTTACAGATGTGGTGACATTTGTTTATTGTGATTAGCATTGCCATCAATTGTGAGCAGATCTTGTCTTGGGAAAGAAAACTCATCTTTTGCAATGGAAATGCTAAATCACATAGAACAAGAAGCAACATCGCAAGGCAGAAATAAATCTGAGAACAGCTTTAAATCAAGTAATATATTAATTTGCTTTAAAAATATGTTTTGTTAATGAGATTTTTGTAATATCTACAGACAACTACTCAAGTTGTGATTTCGCATAGAGATAGAACAGTAAGTCGAGCAGTTACAGAAAATTTAAACTAAACAATGCTAGACAACCTATTAAATTCCTTAGTGCTTTGGGGCACTGATTGCTTATTAGTTACAGAGTGGTTTCAAGACATGCTTTTAAACACTGAATACTCAGTACAGTGAAATTAGTTTATGTATTGATGCAGAAGCAACAGTCTGAACAGATCAGCACCTTGAGGAGACAGGAAGGATGTAAAGTACAGGAAGGCACGTGGAAACATCCTAAAAGCAACAGGCAATAGTTTCATCACAAATATTTCATTCGGAGGGAATGCAGAGAATGTATTAGCCAAAGCAATCCAAAGATGTAAAGGAGAAAGGTTAGAAGGGAAAAGTCATACCTTCTATTTAACTGGTATAACTGGAAAAATTGTAAAAGCTTTGCCACAAAAGCCCTTCTTGAGGCCCAAAGCAGAAAGCGAAGGCTTAAAAACTAAAAGCAGTTACTCTGGGTTTAACAAATACCTTAATCAATTAGACTTGAGAGGAGAAAAAAAAAAAAAAAAAGAAAGTAGCTGGCATTTGCAGTGCAAAGGAATGCAAGTCACATAATCACCTCCTCTGGAACAGAGCAAGACACGTGTACAAGGTAATTCATTAATTATAAATTTGGGAGGGAACAGCCCCTGGGGGATTTGACAGGAAATTACAACATGTATTAGAGAACAAGAAGCTCTAGTTAGTCCACGCTTCTTATTACTCAATGACAGTTATGAATTTTATTTAAGGCTTATCTTTTGAACTGCTTCTATTAGTCTTCCTTGAGAAATCAAGTGAGCCTAGAAGCGAAGAGGACATTTTATTGAAAAACATCTTCCCATTGGTACCTGTCCACTTCTTTCCTCTACAGATTGAGGCTTCATTCTGAGGGTGCAGCAATGGTCTAACTTCATGCAGTCACCAGGTAACTTAGGTGATGTGCTTTATACTCTGGAGACTGTACACAAAGAGGCCAGTGATTTTTTGAGAGCACAGTCGGCAGCTAAAGCAGAGGCCTGTTCACCAATAAAAGAAAAAACCCTAAGCCGACTTATAATTTTGGCTTGTTTTGAATACAAACATAAGTACACTAAAATAGCATAACTGCATAAGTGCCTTTGCACTGAGTGGCCCAGTAAGAACAGTACTGCCACGGCTAATAACAGACCACAAGCTTTATGCTAACTGTGCAAGGCCTCAATCTCAGACATTTAGGTCTGTTACCAGAGCTTCTGTGTGAACCAGAGCTCAGAGCCACAGGTCTTTTACAGTGTGGAGTTTAATCACAGAACAACAGCAAAGGACTTGAAAATAACGGCAGAGGTTGGAAACAGAGGCCCTGGAACCACAGAGAGTTCACTGGAAAAGTAACGCCCCTCCAAGAATCACATAGTTTGTAGTTCAGGGCTGAGGCTAAAGCCTGGGAGTTGTTTAGAAACAAAGCCACTTTATAGAAGCACAAGATCCCTAATTTAGGGGAAGGAGGAAGGGAGAAAGAAGATGCATACTGCAGTTTCAGCTTTCCTTATTGAAGAGCTCTTGAGTCGAGCCTGATCACTTTGACTTCTGCGACTCAGACCATCAAGGAGAGTGGCTATCAGTGCTAACTACACACCATGAACATGACAGTATTGTATACTCACACCTAATGTAGGACGTGACTGTTAAGATCTAACTACTTTGAATATGTAGTGATAATGACTACTAAAATGAAAGACTAACCATAAGCATGAAATGTGTTGTTAATTAAAGTCAGTCTTGTAAAGTTTTGTTTTAAACCTTAAAAGCAGCCTGACATTAATCTTCTAAACACTCAAGGCAATCTTTAATTCCCTCAGCCGACACACAGACACACATTCAAGAGCAACAAGTTAGCAGAGCTGCTATTGGCAGGGAGTTTGCAATGGCAGGGGCACATTCCAAGAGAGCTTACTTCTGGCAGGAGCTCAGGGAAGGCAGGGATACTGGGAAAGCTTCTTTAAGATAGTATGTTCCTCCAGCCTAAGCTGTATTTGTTTAACAGTTTCCCTCAGGCTGACAACCAGGAGCATAACACTGCAGTTAGTCTCAACACAGCAATCAGGTGGCCCATTCAAAACTGGAAATGGTTCTACTAGATGAACATCCCTGATAGCCAAAGTCATTCATCAGAGTTGTTGAGCTAGCTATTATACGTATGCAAGAGTAGTACTTTCATAGTTATCATATAATAACTGAACACACCTCTTTCCCCAAAACACTGCTTTATAAATAGCCTTAACAAATCAGTGTTAAAAAACACTATGAGGCTGTACAGAATTCAAGACTCCCTTGTGGAAGGGGCAGCGACAGGGCTGCGTGAACACTGATGTGTCAGTCTGCATGAGTTTGTTGTCTTTCCAATTTGTAAGAGCCAAGCCATCAAAATTGCACTTAGTGCTCTTCAGCATCTAAGGTGTCCTAGTGCTACAATGTAAGAAACTTTAAATGAAATGACCAATATCTGAAAGCAATCGTTTAAAAGGCACTTGACCAAAAAAAAAAAAAAAAGAAAAAGAAAAAGGTTACTTTCTGAGAATTTTAAGTCAGCAAACTTCTGTAGGCCAGGTAAGTACCTAATTCAGTGAGCATTACATAAATAACAGTTTTATAAATGGAATAAAACTGAACACAGAAAAAGATATTAGGAAAAAATAACTTATCCTTGCATGTCCCTTGCAAATTTTTTCTTTTCTTCTTACAAAAAGATGAATCATCATCCTAACAACTCAGCAACGACAACAAAACAAGTCAATAAATCTTTAAAGTAAAAGACATGTAATGATCTTTGAAGAATAATATATTATGCATAAAATTAAAGGCTTCCTGCTTCAAATAAAAGCTGATTTCAAAATAAATGCCTACAAGGAAAGTTCTGAGCTAACCTTCAGGGCTGAAAAGCCTATGGGGGAGTAGAAGGGGGAAAGGGAGAAACTTTGCTTGACCTGCACATGAAAGAGGCAAAATAGCAACAAAAACAGAACTATGCCCCCGAATCATGTCTCTGGCTTTCTGAAGGTAAAGCAAACAACTCCTCCAACAATATGCATCAGGTTGAATATAACTTGCCCCCAGAAAACTGGCATGCATTATGAAAAGAACACCCCACCCCAATGTTTTCCTTACTAGGAAAAAATATATGAGATTTGAATTATTACTGAAAAACAGACTGCAGTTAGGTGATTACTTGAAGAAGTTCTCAGGGCCAGAGTAAACATTAGGATATGCGGTAACTCATCGAAATGTTTGAGAAACTGAAATTAGAGGCCAGCCTGACTTGACTTGGAACACACACATCAGTCATGCTAAAGGCACAGATAGAGAAACCCAACGGAGCTGAAGCTCACAGCGTATGCTTTAATGGAAGGTCTTCTGTCTTCCCGTCTGCGAAATCTCTGAATGAGATACTAGCTGCTGGTGGAATGATAAATAGTCTTGGGAAAGAAGCAAGAAGATCAATTTCAGGAGACATGAGCAATGTCTCACATACCATCAAGGGAGTTTTGAGTGATCACTCACAGATGTAGCCAGCAACAATTTACTTTTTCAAGGTTTTAAGCCTTCAAGAAGTGGAGGAAAAAGAAGCTGAAAAGCAGATGAATGGGGAAGAAGTGAGGCTTTTTCATTTTTCAGAAATTAAATCTTCACAGTCCAGCTACATATTGCTTATTTCATTCACCTGAAAAAACTACCTTAGGATATAAAGTGAGGTGCAAAATTTGAGGTAGAAGTGGAGAAGTGAGTTCCCTTTTAGCTCCCTCTCCAAATCAAGTACAGGATAAGACAAACCCCTCTTTAAAAACGCGTCAATGGAAAAAAATGGGTTATGATACTACTGCTCCTACTGGATACTACAAAAAAATTCAAAGTTGAAAGGCAGCAAGACTGCTAACACCAAAACTTTTAGAAAAAGAAAGCTGATCTTTGGGCAATTTACATGTTTATACAGCAAATTACTTTAAAATAATTAAGGTCTAACTACATCAAACTGGAGCTAAATATAACTGCAGTAACGAACAGCACATTTTAAGCAGGCTATTGAAGTCTTCTGTGCTTTATCTGATATTCATAGTTAAACTACTGAATCAATGCATAACGTTGCAAATGAAACAAACGCCAGTAATTCCTCAGCATCGCTATACCAGTGATTATTTAATTCTATGGTTTCATCTCTAATATGGAAGTCCCTTCTACTATGAGAAAAACCCTAAAGTGAAATGCTTTCTTTTATCATTTTCCTTTCAGCAAAGGCTCCTTCTCCTTAACTAAAGGGGATGAACACTTGCTATGATTTTCATGACTAGAAAACAGCTTATCTGCTAATAATTGCAATATGACACCAAACACTGTTGACCCTTCCCAGTTTAGAAAGCCATTATACTATCACTAATTCTAACAATTCACTGTTGCGCTTCAAAACACCGATTGAAAGATTTTCATTATCTGATAAAAAAGTAAATCCAGAAAGTTTCCATTGTATCCCAGGACAGATGAAACAACTTGCTTAGAAACATCAGATTTAAGTTAGAATTACTCTGATCTTTTCACATCCAAGTTTTAATAACCCAGATAAGCACACAAATTAGATTTTCATCAGTTTTAATCTGAAACATCAGTGAGAGCAATACCGTGTACAAACAAGCCAGATCATGAAATCAGGAGTTAAGTTTTATACTATACCCATGTCATTATGGACACGAGTGTACGCAGAAAAAAGATAGGTGTTTCCCCACAACAGATGAGTAATAATGAGATCATGGATATAAACAGGAAAGCAAGCCAAACACCGGCATTTTTTGCTGTACTTCTAAAGCAGATTTTTGAGAAGTAAAGTATGCTGGCTGCATGAAAGTTTTCAATATTACTGTATTTCAATCTTAACTATTTCTTCTCTTTTCATTATTTCCTCCATTATTCTACTCTATTTAGATTACTACAGCACACTTCCTGTCATGGTTTTTGAGCACCCTGCGGCAATGCTGTAAGTAACGGGTCTTGAACTTATCATGTAGTTTCTCCTCTATCTCTCTTGCCTAGAAGGAAACTGCATATTGATTTCAAATGATGGGTTAAGCATTTTTACTCATTGTGCCTCAAACTTGCATAGTCAACTTTGAGAAAGGATTAAGCAGATTTTCACTATTAACTGAAAAAAGGTTCACCAGAATGAGAAGCTTCTCTTAACTTCCTGACTCACGTTTCTTTTACAACAGGATACGTAACCTTTTAGGCAGCAGTTCAGGGAGAACAGAACAAAGAGATGCCAATTAGTCAAAATCGAGACCAGCCTCGATGTAAATACTAGCTTAAATTGCACCCACAGCAATACTGTGTTGCAGGCTAGATATAAATACTATTCTTCCAAAACAGATAAATATTAACCTGAAGATATTTTTGTTTTATAACAGCAGCTCAAGTCAGAGAGGAACTGCGTCATTGATTCTGTAGGTTAAGAATTTCAGACTTTTTCTTTTTTTTTTTTTTTTTTTTTTAAAAGAGAACTTCAGTTGCTTTAGTTTGGATCAATTTCAATCCTTTTTTCCTCCTCATGAGGTGAAAGGTCCAGTGCATTAATTCAGGGATTCACATAGTGTAAAATATTAATTTCATTCTCCATAGAACTTTCACAAAAAGAAATAAACTGCTGTCAATCCAATGAATAATAATTTGTGGAAAAAAGACTCTAAAAGAAGGTATATATCTTTCTCATCACCTCTTGATCAATAATTTCCTCAATTGTAACTTCGACAAATTGATTTTTTTTAATTTTGATTTAGATAAATGCCATTAACTATGTACTAGGCATACAATTTGCCAAATTTTATTCAGCCTCGTTTTTTGGTAAATATCACAATTTCTAGAAAAGATAGATGAAACAAGAGAAATTCCTTACTAATGACCTCCAAGAAATAGAAGAGGGGAATACAGAAAATGAAATATTTAAAATCAACTTGCAGAACACACAGGAAACGCTACAGTAACAGTCTCAGTTGGGAAGAGAAGTTTGGCAAGCTAATATTAATGCAGATGCTGAAATCAGAAGGGTTTCCTCATCACAATTGATTTTGCTTGGTTGCACGATGGTATTTTAAGTAGATTTACAATAATTACTTCAGTAATGTAAGTAACACTAACACTGCTTCCATAATTTTCCATGTATTTGAATGCTATTTTAAAATAACCGCAGTGGTAATCAAAGGAGGAATTAGCATCCGTTAAAATGAGACCACTTTGTTAATTAAAGATATACAACACATACCGAAAGAAACGTCTCGATGTTATCATGAACAAACGATGCAACATCTTGCCAGTCCAGAATATCACCAAGCCAGCTGTTCTGACGGTTTATATGCCATTTGTGTCCTTTGTGTCTTCCAGAATGTGTTATGTTCTTGAAAAGAGACAAAGATTTAAAGATACCAGACTTCTGAGCAATATACAGAAACAAAAGAGTCAAAGACTAGGGTTTTCTTGATGAAGAACACGTACAACATACATTAAAAAATATATATATACATATGCATACAGTTAGAGCTGCTTTTATTTGCATTTTCAAGAATACCTGGAGGTAAGAAAGTCTTTCTCTGTACACTTGAAAAATTAAAGCTGACAGAAAACTATAGTTAAAGTTTCCCATATAGTTAGTTTTGTATATCGTACTGATTCATCTCAGTTAAACATTAGCGTTACAGCTTGACTAAGATGACTATAGTAATTTTGCTCCTTATGAAAGTACACAGGAAATGATTTCAGCTATGCCTACACAATTCACTGTTAGCAACATTTAACTTTTTTCAATACAATCCACAACGGAAAAAAGGCGACAAGTCAAAACAACTAGTGTCTACTTCACCAACAAAGTTCAGTCATGCAAAACCAGAAAGCTAAACTGGAAACACAGAGGACTTCTCCTGGCAATACAGCATTATAATTGCAACCACAGCAAGACAAGAGGAAACGGCCATAAACACGACAGCTACCTCCCTAAGTAGCTGTAACCTATGAAGTTGCCCATTGTCCAAAGTTGCCACTGGCTCACACCTGATCATCATCTAGTTTAGCATGGGACCATCAGACTCAGTCTGGGACTGAGACAAATATTTCAGAGACCGATGCCAAAATTCTACTGTAAGCAGATGTTGGCCAACCTGTTGATTACATCAGCGCTCGTTCTAATCTTTTATAGTAAAAGACCTTCTTAAGTTCTGAATTCTGAAATTTCTATAAGCATCCTGCTCCTTTTCTTAGGATTCTCCAGAACTTTTAACGCTACGATCACTCATCCAAAATGACAGAACCCTTATTGACACCTATAGCAAGTATTATTCCAGGAGAAGTCACCTCACCGATTCATGTAAGAGCATTGTATTTTCTAGAAGTTTATTACCAATTCTCCCTTCATGCATTATTACACCTTACGATGCACAAAGTACTTCAATAGTCCACAGCAACAGAGAGGTGTCTCTCTTGAGCTAACAGTTTATTTAGAGCAGAAACACGCGATTAGTCAGGAATTTCCCTCCCATAGGTCCTTTCTTTTTGTCAACTTTATCAGGTACCTATTTTCTGTTTTCTAGTTCTATCTTCTCTTCAAAGACTTCTCTAGTCAATAAACAGAAGAATTGCGTGTCATTTACAAAGTTTGCTACATTCCTACTAATTTTTGAGTTCTTTGTCCTTCATCAGCTGTACTGTTGTACCACCTAGGACCTTAGGTGTTGATCAAATATAATTGAGAGCACCAAGGAAACTGTCAACCGCTTTTACTTTAGCGAATGCAATAGATCTTAAAAAAACTGAACCAACCAAAAAAAACCAAACCCTTAATGAACTAGCAAGACAAGATTCTTCTCCTTGAAGGAGATGCATTGAATGTAGAGTTATGCAACCATCTTTGATGCAATTCATTATTCTGTTGTTATTTTACTCTAATCAACCCATCGGGTACATGTAACCAGGCCCAGCAGTAATTAATCTCTTGCACCATCTCTAAGACTCTCCAAAATAGACACTATCTGCTATCTACTGATCTGCTCAGACAGTTGCAGTTAGTGGAAGAATCCACACTTTGTTGGCAACTCCTCCAATTCATAGATGTATTCTGCAACTTTCAATGGAAGAGTACCAGCTGAGCATGGTTCTTCCAATCACCTGCAGATTAAACCAGTGCTATGCAGGCCTCAAAAAAATGAAGTTTTGTTATTATGCTCAAACAACCAAAACAGTTAGGAGCTTGAAAACCATACTGAGAGACAGTTAGACATGGTAGAGATGTCCTGTACACTGGAATCATATCTACCTTACTAGTTTTCAGATACTCTGAATGACCACACAAAAGTTCTGGCAATACTACAGAAGGAGTTAGCCAGGTGACAAGTACCCACATGACATTTCAAGATGGATATAGGGTGGGATAGAAGGTGCAAGACTAGAAATGGACTCTAGAGCAGTTACCTGCAGCCAGCTGATAAGCAGTTGCACCCTAGCATGCCAATGGTAAGACAAGGTCCCCAGTGCGCAAACAGTAGCCCCAGGAACAGAGTGCAGGACCAGATACAGCAAGCATCAGTTTGTACCTGCAGCTCTTTCTGCCATTTTGACTGCTAGGAAAGCTGTTCCTCTAACAAAAGAGCACCTAGAGGACAGAAGCCTCACAGTGTTCCCTCAAATAATAACTGCAGGAAAGCAATCACACATACTAGCAGAGACAGTCTGTGCTGTATGCTGCACTAGCAAAGTATTCTTGCACATATGGAGCAACACAAAGCCCTGCTGACACAATACAGTGACATGGTCTATCTGATAAGCAGACTATATTAGTACAGGTATAGGTTTACCAGTACAGCTATATCAAAAGTAGGGGCTTTTCTTGGTCAGGCATTTAACACCAAATAGTCTTGAATACTCAAGGCCAGAAAAGTGTATTCTAGATACAGCTTTAATTTCTCCTCAGCACTCCCATATTCCTCAATAGGGCTCTAATCTCTGGTGATCCACAGCATGTAACAACTCTTCTCTTGGCCTTCCCCTTTTTTTCACTTCGGTTTTTAATTAGTAAATATTCAGTAACACTGAAGTCCACTGCTACCTCTTACTTTTATTTACGAAAGGACCTTTTAAACTAATTGTTGAAAACAAAATTCAGTAAAATAAAAATGTTGTCTGTAAACTGCCACTGTTTGCTACTGCACTTTCCAAATCACACGCTCTTCCAGAACATTAGCTTGCCAGAAGAAATGATTGATTGACTTTAACCACTACACTGAAACTCTTACCTCTTCCAATATGAAAATCTCTTTGTACTTTACTTTGTACTTGTAAAAAGTATTTTACAAGTGACCATATCAATAAAAGTGTTAAATAACCAAATAATAATGTATTAAGTATAGAGAAATAATTCAAGAGTATGAGTTTTGGCTTTTGATATTGCCACTACATCATGGCTAATGAATCGCTTGTTTTTTCCTTTAAAAGGCTAACAGCACTAACTGCATGGAAATCATTCCAATCCTATGAACTTTTCAAAACTCACTGTGCAGAACCCATTATAACAATGGCAGTACTATTTGCAAAAGAGTTGTTAAAGTGAAAGGACAATTTCTTTCTCACAATTTCAAATCAATGTATCATTCCAAATTTGCACAAATCATGCAGAATACTAGCTTCCTTTTTCTAACCCTTCAAGAGGGCAGAAATTCAATAGAAAGCTATAAGCTATGAAATACTAAGCATGCAGACATGAACAAAGTATAAATTAAGTGGCATACATAAAAAGATACCAACTGCTTAAGAGAAAGATCTGTTGTATTTTAACTGTAACTGTAGATTGACCTATCTTACACATTTGAAATTTTGACCAGCTTGTGGTTATTATGACCTTTACTTGGCATTCCAAGTGTTCTGCTCATCTGTTTCTCAGAAATGTATATTTATCATAAATATCTCAAATCACTAAATAATACTTAGTACAGGTACCGTTTAAGTAAGTTACTCACCTTCACAAACCAAGAATGATAAAGCCTGTCCCAGAGCTCTAGCACTTGTTTTTCAATCACAGCGGTATTGTTTACTTTTTCTCCCAAAATCTTATGGAGCTACAATACATATAAATCTTTTAGTACATAGAACAGAATGAAGCTACTATCCAAAGATGAACTCAAAGCTAGATGATTCACATAAGATTAATTATTTGGTTTTGAGCCAGGTCTTTAATGACAAACAACCCCACATATCAAAATGCAACATACTTCAGACACTAGGGTTCATAACATGCAGATTTTACCTTCAAAACTTTGTTACATTAATCTATGAGGACTTCTTTCTGCACTGAAAAATCAGTGTCATCTCTAAAACGCTTAATCCAAAATCCTTTGTATTCTTTAGAGCAAGTATGTCAAATTATTTGAGATGTGTGCTAGACACCAAAATAATTAAGGATCTTGGCAAAGCCTCGTAAAAATATTAACCAAGAGTCAATCTACCATACATGGTCCATGGAGAAAAGTAGAGTACTGGTGGTAAGAAAAAAAAGCTATATTTTAACAGATGAAAAAAAATTACTCATCTTTATTTGATCTATTTTTGGCTGGCTCTCTCATTAAAAAGACGATAGATTTTTTTGGCTCTTAAGAATAAAACACTCCTCCCAGCAGAAAGACTACTGACATGATTCCCAAATCTTCCCTTCCTTCACTCACAGACTAAACGCTGGAAAAAATAGATCTGTTAAGCAAAACATTTAACCACACGAAGAACAGAGAGATGTATTTATTTTTATAAAGCAGAGAAATCAAAACACTAAAACAAAACAAGAAAGGTGTTTTTTTCCAGTCTTACCTTATGTGTAATCCATTCTCGGCCATATTGATATACGTTATTAGCTGCTGAATTGAGTGCCTTCTGAATAACCTGGGCTTCTGGGAGCCAGCTATTTTTAAAGAAGGGAAACAAAATTATCTGGTACATATTTTACCCATTTCATTATGCCTGAAACACATTACAAATTAACATTTTGAAACAATTACCATTAAGTGCATATAAACATACTACAGTTTTTCCTTCTGTCTGTCAAAAAGAGCAGACTTTTTAACAAGCAAGGTACAATTCAATCTAGGGTATGTCATTGCATTAACAATTCACTAAGGTTCCTAAAACTTTAAAATTGGTATCTTAAATTCAACTTTTTCCAAAAAGATAACTTGCTTCTCAGTCTGTATAGATGTGTTATATAGAGTTCTAAAACTTTTCCTACTGATCTAGTTTTTTTGAAAATATTATATGAAGCATTCCTTTTCTAGTTGCAAAGACAATCTTCCGAATCGCGAGCCAAATGCAAATTGCTATATGGTTTCCCTGAGCAAGCAACAGGATGAAGCAACCGGTTTAGGCACCAGTTACTTCAAAGTCCCCATAGTAAACTATCTGCTCTCAAATTTCTGCAGAGCTAAGGAAGAATGAACCTTCATGTCACTTGCAAGTAATTCCTACTGACTTGCCAGCATTTCAGCACCTATGAACATAGGGCATAGGTTCTCTGCTTCCACTTTCTACGTCTTGATTCAATGACACGTGTTGGAATGACGCAGCCCTTCATAAACAAGAAAGCATGCGGAAACCGAAACTTCTGCCTTCATTCACCTGAGCGAACGTTAAAAGGGAAGCTTTTCTGTCTGTGTAGCCTTGGAGAAGCGTTTCACATCAGAATCCCAAGACCTTTCAGACACTTAACCTCCAAACGTAGCGTAAGCATCAAGCTCTGAAAGTCAGCCAAAGTTTGATGGATTTGACAAGAGGTATACTTATTTCTAATGAATTAAAAGATAGCATTTTGGATACTTCATATTTGAAGGCAAATACTTGGCTTAAATTCTGCTAATTACTTGGCTAGTACTCCAATATTTTCATTATATGCATAAGCTTCTCTGACAGTCAAACTTCCATTTTCATTAGCTCTTATTTCCATCTTACAGCAAAATGGAAAGGCTGAACCACAGAAGAGATGCCATGAAGAAACAAACAAAGGCATTTTTAAGTGTCTTCTCTGCTCTGGATTGTGATTACTTAAGTATTGCTAAAGCACATGTTATTATAGCATTTATGAGCTATATCATTTTAGTCCTATTTTGGAAATTTTCACCTGCTCTTATATTAAAAGTGCACTTTTGTTCAATGCTATTAAACCATCATTGCCTTTGTTTAGAAAGTGCCCTTGACAGTCAACCATTCTTGCCCAAGAGACTCGATCTTTTTTTCCAGGTAAGTGCATGCACTCACCTTCACTCAGTGTCTATTTAGTTGAAGCAGAAAAAAAGCAAACCTGAACATCTCTCCTTCAAAATTACACTCTTCAGTCTTGCCTATTCCCTCTCTACTATTCACAATCAGTCCTTTGCCCACCAGTATGCCTTCAGTAGTTCTCTATGTTCATTTATTTCTCTCATAATTTTCTCTATCCCTTAATATTTACCTTGATGTTCACTTTAATCATTATATACATGGTAATCTACAGTCTTCCCATCGCATACACAATACACATCTCCTCTCAACATAAACAGCCTATTCCAACCAGTTCACACAACGCTCTCCCCCATCCACCATTACAGAATCACAGAATGGTTGAGGTTGGAAGGGACCTCTGGAGATCATCTAGTCCAACCCCCTCCCACCCCCCCCACCCAAGCATGGTCACCTAGAGTACATTGCCCAGGATCACGTCCAGGCGGGTTTTGAATATCTCCAAGCGAAGACAACTCCACAAGCTCTCTAGGCAACCTGCGCCAGTGCTCAGTCACCCTCACAGGAAAGAAGTTCTTCCCTCATGTTCAGACAGAGCCGCCTGCATTTCAGTTGCTGCTCATTGCCTCTTGTCCTGTGGCTTGGCACCACTGGGAAGAGTCTGACTCCATTCTCTTGACACCCTCCCTTCGGATTTGTACACATTGATCAGACGTCCTCTCAGTCTTCTCTTCTCCAGGCACCCTTGAACTCTTCCAGTCCGCTCCAGGAGGTGGTCTTCCACTACTTCTGTTCCCTCCAAGACATTCTGCAGCCAGCTCTCTACATTTTAAAAATAACTCTGCTCTCATATCACAATCTACTAGAGCGTTCCTATTACTTTCTCTTCACCCCCCAGATAACAGGAAGAGTATTAAACTCTTTATTCTCTGCACTAACTAGAGAGCTTGATCTACATGTGCTTCCAATCAAGGTCCAAACAGTCCTCAGATGAGAAACCACATGACACTCCTCTAGAATGAGGCACAAACACTGCCACTGCCTGAGAGTTCAGCTTTTACATCTGCCTGCAACACTCATTTCTGTTCACTTTTAAAATTGACTTTTTAAATTGAAAACTATGCATAAGAGCACCTGCAAGCTTGTTCGTACACCCTATAACATTCACTTAACTTTAGCTTTCTTACTTTGCCCATTCAGGGTGACTGGCTACTGTTTCATTGATCAAGCTGCTTGTGACTTGAATCATGTGAACACTCTCTTGATGTACCTAAATTAAACACAGAGGGAAAAAACGTTATGTAATACAAACTAGAACATTTTCTGCATTCAGAAAAGAAAAGGGGGGGGGGGGGGAGACAGGTTTTGATATTTTAAAGATTAATTCTCACAACACAGATAACCCATTATGAAGAATGAAGCACCATTAACTCAGAAAAGCTGTCAATACAATAATCATTAGCCTCTTCTGACAATTTTGGTCACACACAGTGTGACTAGCAACAGCAAATGGTAATTTATAGCTCATCTGTGGAGAAGATTCTAACAGTACAACTGTGCTGCCAGGACAAGCCCTAAAATAAAGCACAGTTTCAAATACATTGTGAGCCACAGATCGAAGAAATGTTAAAATTAGTGACCGTTCAACTCTAACACGATCAATCATGCTACAAAATGCCTTACCAAATTAATTCTTCAATGAGAGATATAAAAGACACCATTTATAAATATCTTAACGTTCCCTTGGTAAATCCAGGGAAGCTTTAGGCAGGAATGTTCACAGCTTTTAAAGCTTTCAATTTTAAGTACTCTACATTCTTTAATGCCACAGTTTGGAAAAAGGAGACTGATATCAGAACCCATCTGATTTTTGTTCTGTATTCAAGCAAAACATTCAATTGCCATCAACTATTTCAAGTATGAACATAGTTCAAAAAAAAAAAAACACGTATGATATGAGTGACCTCTTCTGGTGAGCAAAAAAAATCCCATCCACAAATCAAAAAATCAAAGAAGAAAAACCTCATCATGAATCTCTGAACATTTAAACTCAAAACATGATACCATCAGGATATTATGGGCACTTACACAAAACAGACACATACACCTTAAGCATTTCGCAAATATGCTACTGATGCAAAGTAAACTAGAAATGAAAAAATTATAAGCAGTTCTGCCATTGAAAAGAATAACTGGCCATAAAACAAATCTATTACTCTAATATATAAGCTAGTAACTATATTACTGCAATAAATTCCCTATTTCTAAATGTCTATAAATTTGTTTTGTCCTCTATATATACATATATATACACACACACACACACAGAGAGAGAGAGAGAGAGAGAGAGAATGAAAGAGAACAGTCAGAACAGTTACAAATTCAACTATAGAGCATTTAGTTGCTACACAGCTCAAAAAATTCCTTAAGCTACATAGTTTTGCACAAACATTAGCAGCTTTCGTTCAGCTTTTAAAACGAGTTCTATAATGACATTTCTTAGGGCACGTTACCTTTGCAGTAAGGAGCAGGGCTAGCAGAAGGGTTCCTATGACTAACAAAAATATTATGAAAATGCTAATTATTTTATCTAGCATTTTCTCCAACCATATGATCATCTGTGCAGAAAAAAAAAAAAGAAAAAGGTCATGTTATATAAATCATCCTTTAACGAAAGCAGTACTAGGTGCTATTTGACAGTAGTTACCTTTATTTACAACCAGACTGCAAAATCAGACTCTAATCAAACAGCATTTATGCCCAAGCTTGGAGATGAACAATTAACAAGCGGTGTTAGCATGATTAAGCTCATGGTATGACATGTGATTTGGCAAACGACATTTACACATTACCACAAGACATAGCAAGCTCTCTGCAAAGCAAGCAATAATTCAACACTTACTTAAAAGACCTAAGGAGGCTAGCATTCATTTGAACTACAAACCTAGATTTTTGTCTTTGTTTCTTTTCCTTAAGCAACTTTAAAAACTAACAAATACTGCCTGCACAGAACTGGGAAACCATCAAGGTGTACTGTGAAGTACAACCACAATTTTCAAACTTGAGCTGCTATCTAGATCACTAACGATATATTTCTGCAAGTAATAGAAGTTTTAAAGCTGCTCATCACCTTCTAAATTCAAGAGGGACTGGATGTTTTCTACATCAGGCGAATTATTCAGCACTGAATATTTCGATCTATTTTCAACCCTGAAAAGTTTCTCAGTATTACACATGATTCAATTAAGCCTATCGATACAGGAAATCAGGCATATGTGTTGTTCTGCTGCTTTATGGACAGGCACATTCTATACATGTCCACAAACAGTGATACTGCTTAAGATTAGAGAAACCGCGCTGATGCTATTCAAAACAATAAAACTGTTTGGCCACATGACTGTGCAGAGAGCGCTCTAGCAGAGCGGACTGAGCTTTGTCTCATATATAACTCGTTTACATAAAAAGCTGTGAGCCCATGCAAGTTTGAGCAAATATATTTTTCTAGCTTCTATGGTTCAAATACCAAAGCTATTTTTATTCCAGCTAGCATTACTGTAGAAAGATATATATAGAAGATATAAAACTGTAAAATTTGTGCTTTAAAGGAGAACTAAGGTCAAAGACAGCGTGCAGGAGAAGAGATGAATATTTCTGCCATTGCAATTTTCCAAATGAATGTAAGTTATAAATTCAGGCATTAGGTTGATAACTTTTTAGTCAGTGTTCTTACAAAACTGCTACAGTAATTGCTTATGGTATACATTTTTCTTCCTCCCTTATTTTCTCTATCCCTACACATGAAATCGGCCACGGAACCAATACTATGAACTCCTGCGTGATGATAAATTGCTTAAAGCTGAAGTCGTGTCTCCTATTTGAAAAAAATAGTATGGATTTTTTTAATTTTATTTTTTGGTACTTATCCCCATAGTATCTGCATATTTAATGCATACTAAGCTTTCCTCCCCCCTCAACTTTGGATTCTTTTACAACCAACTGCTTGTTTAAACTACCGTAAGGATCATATTCAGCAGTGAAGAAAGTTAGAAAAAAAGCAAAAACCTTCCAATGGAAGGAAGTGCTAAGCCTGCAAGTTTCTGTAACAAAATCTGCACTATTATTACGACCTGCAGAAAAGAATTTCAGAGACTCTGCAGTAACCTGCAAAATCTGGTATCTTGGACATTTTGAACATTTTTCACTATTGCTGAAGTGTTTCAGCCATCAGAGATACCTTGCCAGCCCTAGAGGGAGGTGACCTGTCTCTAGCAGTACAGTACCTGCCTGAAAAATTCCGACTAGCCTGTACTTAGGGCTATTTCCTCCTAAGAAATAAGACTGAAAACAGAATTTGCCATGCCCTTCCAAACTTCACATATATCTAAGGATTAAGCAAGAGAAACAAGAAATATAAGACCCTCATGCTATACTGAAAAATGCTAGATGGACGGGGAGGGAAATTTTCTCGTATGTGCTTCAGAATGAAGCTATTAAAAAAAAATTAAAGCTGCCTTGGTTATTCCTCAGTTCTTAGTCTTAGTCTTGTTTATTTCTTAGTTATAAAAGCTGCACCTTATAGACTGAGGTTCAGAGAAAACTTGAGAGGGGCAGAGGAAATCCAAAACAATTGCTATTTCCTTTCTATGGTAGAGAAGAAAGAAATTTGCTAATTAGTCTTAAATAGAGTTCCTTAAACAGCATCACTGAACCCAAGAAACTGCAAGTACTATCAGAGAGATTTCCAAAAATGCTACCCTCCAATCGTGTGAAGGGTCTCCAACAGATGGAGTCTCAGCACAGCTGAAGCAGGCTACTCTAGGTGATTCATTCTCATCGCAATTACTGGAAGATGAAGCACCTCCGAAAAGTCAGGAATGAGGACAGACTCTGAACTGGTATGAGGACCACTGGACTGCAGTATGAGAAGCAGGGATCTTCTGTCATTCTTTACTGTAGGTCGGAGTATGGCTACGCTGCCACTGAAGCGGGGCTACACCATATGCAAAGCCCGAATTCCCTTTGATCTAGTTAGTTAAGTAACAGCAGCAGTGATGTTGCACCTGCACAGGCGGCAGCCCCAGCCACGCAAGCCCACTTTGCGTTCATTTACTTGGGCAGCTAGCCCAAGCAACCTAGATTAAAGCCAACTCTGGTATGCCTACAGGTAACAAGTGCAATCACATCTTTCACTGCTGCTCTAAGTTATAAAACTGCTATGGAGAAACCACAGGAGAGGTCTGAACTAGAATGCACACTGCAGAGGTAAAAGCAGAAGCACAACGTTCATTTAGGGCTACATTTACTCCCTCTCCTCAGATTTGTTTACTGTTAAACCCCTTTTCCTTCTTCTGCGTTTACCCACGATACTTCTTAGCGATCACTCATGCTGGGATGCTCCTGTGAAATAAGGCATAGGTACTAAGTCACTACACATAAGCTAGAGTGTAAAATCTCTGTCTGCTTGTACTTACCACTGAATCAGGTCCAGGCTTGTCACACCAAACCTGCCAAACCTCCATTTACACCTTTCCAGTAAACCATGGGCATGCACACAAATACAAACATATGCTGACTAAACACTGGGCGTCAGCCAGAGATCATAAAGCTGTAAATTCAGATTCACGCTTCTAATCTAACCGTTAGTCAACGGTAAGAAGCTGACGCTGCCACAACATCCAAAACGATGCAATGGTAAAGGCAAGCCAGGCTCCTAAGCTACCGAAGGTCACACTTGTAAAACCAAACTGAAACGTTACTGATTAATGATAGACTGTCCAGAAAAAAGAAAAAAAGAAACGGAAAAACACACCTACCTTTAATTGTTATGGTTTTGAAGGGAGAGGTATCAACTACTTATTAATTTTTTAAATTCAGCTCAAGGTAGAAAAAGTTTTTAAACTGAATTGAACTCTTAGGATGCTTTTCTTAGTAACTTCCTGCATTCAACTTACAGATGTTGATACTCACACTGCATTACCATGAGCTGTAATAAAACCACAGCACATGTTTCACTATCAAACCATCCTATCTAGACAGATTTACCATGTTACGCAGTACTATACATCATCTAAGAGTGCCTATTTTTACATCCTCACACTGCATAGCCAGACATTAACAACTCTAACATGCTTTATCTGCCGCCTTGCCCCTACAATAAAAGCATACCGCCACACCCATTCAATTTCTGATCAAATCTGCATGAAACTACCAAAGATTATTTTTTAATGCTGCTTCAGTATCTGATTTTTTTCTGTTTATTTTTAGACATTAGATTTGTTAGTATTTCCCTTTAATTTAGTTAATATTTGAGGATATCATCTTACCAATATCATCTGACAAGAACAAGGGGAAGCCTGTCATCAAGACACATCTCAGGATTACACTGAAATGAGTCAGATGAGTAGCCAAGCCAGAAAAGGTGGAGGACCGTCAATAAGAGCTCTGAGGCCCACTCACACCAGCGTCCCTCCATCAGCAACAGCATTTAGAAATTATTTCTAAAGACTCCTGCCACAGACAATGTCAAAGAACAAATCACGCTAGCCCAGCTGAACTTATTTTATGTTTTGGCCTACATAAAACATGTTAAATACATCATTATATACTTTTTTTCTCTTAAAACAAATAAGAGTATAAAGCATCATCTTGACTGAAGCTCTTAAAACAAGCAGCTAAAAGCTCTTAAGGTCTTTCACTAGCAGCCAGAACCAATCTCCATTTCAAACCTTGCCATCTCTAGGTGTTACATTCCTAGGTTCTCTGTGCATCACCCAAAACTTATGCTAGCTTTCTCACAAGTACTTGCCTTCAGAAAAAGGTAAAAAGAGCAAGTTGTAGAAGGCAACCACCTTCTAACTGCACCCAGCGTTCTGAGTGCCCATCTCCTCCTTTCTTTGCATCTATTAAGAGTATGGGTTTTTATATACACACACATATATAAAATGTATTCACACATACATATATATGTGCGTGTGTGTACGTATGTTTTAAAACCCTCAAGAACCTGATTTAGCTTACACAGCAATTTTTTGCTTTTTTTTAATCTTGATTATAACGTTATTACTACTTGCTTGTCATGCACAGCAGTCTGCTCTCCGAGCAACATTTTATAGGACTTTCAGGATCTCTTCCTGTGAAACCATTAAGCAAAATAATAGTTTCAAAAATAGGTCTTAGGCACTAAAAGGCTCTTTTAAGAAGTTATACGCACAGGTTTTTGCCCAATAACGCAAAGCTCTAAACTAAAATAAGCCCAGACACCTTAGTGTTCAAAAAGCAATTAAGGTGCAGTTATTTGTACAATGCATCTCTATTAAGGAAAAAAAAATCTACATAAGTGAAATTTCAAACATGCAAACAACAAACTCGGCGATGAGAAAAAAACGTAGCTGAGACTAAACTTTCTCATGTGACTCATGTAACTCTGCAATTCGCCTAAGCTGTCCTAACAGACAAGCAGTTTTTTTTTTTTTTAAGAGTTATAGTTGTGTATATTTATTGATCATAATTGCTCACTATCATCCCACAAACATTTCAAATTCAAGAAATCAAAATGAAATTTACAACAACCAAATTATATTCAAGGTCAAAAGAACTTTCTAAATTTGCCCTCTTACTGAACAGTTATAACTGAGTTACGGAAGAAGCAACCCTGCCCTCTTGTTCACAAAGAGCTTCCCCCCTATATACTGTGAGCTCACTGATTAAAAAGCAAAGATCCAACTTTCAAAAGTAATAACAACTGTTCAGCCTACATGTCACTTGCAACATTATTCTTTATCTGTCACCCACAGCAGACACCACCTATATACATCCTAGTTCAACTGTTTAAAAGCAGCTTTTACAGAGTTGTGCCAGTGCCCTCCATGGCCTGCATGCACTACTCTGTTCCCTTGGTGCTCAACATCATTCAGAATCACATTATTTCACATCTTCCCCACCATGCAAGGCTAGCCTATGATTTCTATTTTAATTATTACTGGATAGAAAGGTTAGGGGGTTGAGCAAAAGATTAATGTCACTCATAAAACCGCAGTAACCATTCTAATTCTGCCACTAGTACTAAGTGATAAATGAGGATGAAAGTTGCTGATGAAAGCATATCCCATTTCCAGATATGGTTTATAATTTTTTCTACACCTCTTAATTACCTAATTTTCACATACTTTATCATATATTATATTATCATTGTTTAAACTCGGAATCCACAACCACTAGTCTCAATGGTCTGCTACACTGGACTGATGTCATGCTATAGGCATGTAATTTATAAGGCTTATCAGGTTTTTTAAGGTGCTGACTTATAGAAGTCAGCATGCAGGGAATAAAGGTTGAAGTCTTGCAGATGCATACGAGTTCTACAGGCATCCTTCTCCAGCTGTGCTTCTCTGCCACAATTACACTGCCCATATCTTGCACAGATCTCACTGCACTGAAGCATTGTTCAGATTTCAGTCACACATGTGGCCAAACATGGACTGTCCCCCCAAAACAGTATTGTTAATCCCCGTGGACTAAGATGAATCAGGACGACTGAGGAGTACACGCCATATACGAAACATCACATGCTTTTAAAAACCACGCAAAAAAAAAGTTATTTTAACTACTTCTGCTTTATAGTATAACTGTTCTAATTATTGTTCTTTTTTACTAGCCATCACTTCCCTTACTTCCCTTTCACTGTCTTTACATTCAGCATTTCTGAGACGATGGGTATTCTCATTTCACTCATGCTATACTGAAACATTTAAGAGTCAGTTTGGCACTTCAAGGCTAAAAGATTAACAGCACTGACTGAAACCAGTCAATGCACTACTTGAAAGCACTTACATTCTTAGCTTTACAACTGCACTTCAGGTCCTGACCCTTGCCACCCCCCTGTTAATTCAGTTAACTGAGGCTTTCGCTGAGCAGAGAACAGCTCTCTAGTCAGGCATAAAACTGGCTTTGTTATGCATACAAGTAGGGAGCAGGTAAAGACCAACCTTTCTTAAATAAAAGTGCTACTAAATCAAACTCCAACACTTGAAAGGTTAATGCAGTATTCTGCTGTAAGGAACATTTGATTATGTGCATTTATTTTAGTAAAAGACAACAGCTCAGGTAGAATTATATGACCTTCAGTAGCTTATATCAATAGCTGGAAAAGAGATACTTGGGAGAGAAAGCTAAGAAGCAAGGCATGTTAAGGAGTGTTCATGCTGCAAAAAAAAATCCCCGCAGAATCCATTAGTTGGAATCACAATTTGTCTGTTTATTTACCTTCTTATTAAGCCAGTGCCACAGCTTGTCAGTGGCAGGGGAAGATGGAAGAAGAGGGAAAAAAAGACAGACAAGAACACAGTGGAAAATTATTGAAGGATGCAGTAATAGAAAGGAAAAAAAAAAGCAACGAAACATAGGCAAAGTCATCCACAGAACGAAAATGAAATTGTTCCAGACCCAAAGATAAACTGCAATAAGAAGAAAAGATTATAAAAACTTCTAATGCAAGAAACTAGATTTTACTATTAACACGCACTTATTGAAACAAAGAGGGATATAATAAATAAGGACAACTTTAACAATATTAACAGAGATACTGGCACAACTTAGGCAATTCTAGTTTAATTATACTGAGATATAATAGTTCACATTTCAGAGTAGTATTTGTAGAAGCACTTTGAGAAGGGCACGTTCCTGAAACGGTCAGACTTAACATGAGATTATTGCATTAATGCTCCCATTCAGGCAGCTTTACTTGCATTTCAAACCCCCTTATCATATTAAACAAATTTTATTTGTTTTTTTAGTACCCTACTCATATGACAGCATTCACATTCAATGACACAATGTGAGAAGAGATATCAAATATATAATTAAGCTTGATAAATATGCACCAGCAGATTGCAGATCAAATAAATCAAGCACAAGTCACACAGAATTAGTAAGACTACAACCCCTTTTCCAGTATTTTATTGGAAAACTATTTATACAAGAACTTACATGTCTATGGAAGTTATTTCCTAGGATAATACATGCACCAGTATAGATTCTGCCTATTTTCTGTGCATGCTTTAACTATCTGCTAAACTTGGAACCAGAAGAACCAAACCTTGATTTTACCCAGTCCTCTATACATAAAATTATAGTATGCTGTATCTAGAAGAAGCATATAACAACTCTGTGATTCACTCAAGTGTACCAGAAAACATGCATCTATTAATACAAAAATTGGAAAAATAAGCACAAGCCTAACTAATTAAAAGCTAGTGCATAGAGTCATACTGCTGGCTATGCTGTTGTACTACTGAACAAACTCTAATCAAAGACAGATTAGATTCACCATATTAAGAGACAACAAAACCTTTTAAAAATGCAGAGTGAAGCAAGTTATTAGTTCTGGGGAGCTGGCAAGAATATGCACAATACCAGGTTTTATGGTGACTAGTTTGAAAGAGAGGAACCCTTTTTCAACTCCTTTGTCTAAGAAATCGCCCATTTCTGAATGAACACCAGAGACTAATGAATATGGTAATAACATGCTATATCTATAGTCCATATTTAAACCAGGCCTGCACATATGGGCAAACTGATTTTTTTTTTAAACAAAATAAGAAGGAACACTCTGCTTTCATTCCTCTTGATCAGAGCTTCTCTTCAGTTGATATTTGTCCTCATTACCAAGGAGACAACCAGAGGTTGATGAGCAATGGGAAAGATGAATAGTAGCTTTTTTCTTAATGCTTTTATTTATTAAAAAAAAAA